TTGAGTTCTTTGTATGTTCTATATAGTAGTCCTTTGTCTAAGGAGCAGCTGGTAAAATTTTTTTCCCACATTGTAGGTTGTCGCTCAGTTATGTTGATGCTTCCTTGTGCACTGAAGAAGCTATTTAATAAGATGAGATCCCAGTTGTTGATACTTTCTGCTTGTTCCTGTGCTACTGAGGATTTCTTCATAAAATCTTTTCTTATGCCAATGTCTTCCAGAGTTCTGCCTAACTTATCTTCCAGCAAGTTTAGTGTTTCTGCCTTAATATTTAGATCTTTAATCCACTTGGATTTTAATTTAGTGCACTGTGAGAGATAAGGGTCTAGTTTTAATCTTTGGCAGGTTGAGATATAGTTTTTCCAACACCATTTATTAAGGAGGCTATCTTTCCTCCAATTGGGATGGTCAGCTCCTTTTTCAAATATCAGGTAGCTGAGTATATCTGGAGTTGATTTTGGGACTTCCAGTCTGTTCCATTGATCCTCAGGTCTGTTTCTTTGCCAGTACCATGCTGTTTTTATCACATTGGCTTTGTAGTATAGTTTCAGATTGGGAATTGTTATACCTGCTGCCATGTGTCTGGTGCCTAGGATGGCTTTTGCTATTGTAGTTCTCTTATGGTTCCAAATGAATTTTTGGATTCGTTTTTCTAGTTCTGTGAAATATAGTATTGGAATTTAAATTGCATTGCTGTAGGTTTGCTTTCAATGTCAGCTTTCTGAATAATTTGTAGCAACAGGATTTCTGGTAAGCCAGGATGCAGGACACTTGTTTCCCTTAATTCTCTCACATGATGAATTGTTGTAAAAACCCAGCATGTTTTAGTATCCCTTTAATCTAACATCATTTTTAATGTAGCTCTGTGATATTTGCCTCTGATTTCTACTCTGAGCACAGTCTTCTTATTAGTACGTGATTATAATACATAATAATTATATTTATCTTGGAAATTTGGGATATATACGTACTGTATCTCCATCATTTTCATCCCTCCTACTCTCTGTTGCCTGCCACTATTTCATTTTAATAAAACTCCTCCAATCTCTACAGAGTCTAACTCTTCAATTTCTATTATCTCTTTTTTATTTTGGGCTTTACATTTCTAATGCTTTGGGTTTCACAGATGAGGAAAACAGTGTGATATTCATTCTTCTGTTTCTGATTTAAATATAAAATGTCATAAAAATGTCAATATCAACCCATTTTTCAACAAGTGATTCAAATACATCCTTCCTCATATTTGAATGGCAGAATTTAGATTTTCATTTTGCATAAATGCAGAAGCTAAATCATGGCTTGTAGTTTTAGCAGTGTTTTGTCTTGTGTATGGTCATGAAAGGATGCATTATTAAAGTAGAAGAGATCAGAGAAGGTATTTAAGAAATTCTGTGGTCAGAAAAATGTATAATAGATATTGTGAAACATACAACAGGAAAAAATATTCAAAGGGCAAGAAGAACTATGGAGGTGGGCAGGGGAAAGGAAAGAAGAGAAAGAAAAAATGAGAAAAGAAATAAAAATGGAAATAAAGCTTTTGTAAACAGAAAGGATGGAGAGATTAGGAGGAGATAGGAGAATAGGAAATAAATAAGAAAGAAGATATATCATGTATAGGTACAAATTCTTAATAACGAATGTGAACATAATGTATACCTAAAATGTAGCAATAAACTTATTGAGTAATAATAAAAAAGAAATCATGTGATCATAACTAGAAAATAAATTCAGCATATTGGGTACACTGATTGTCAAAATGCATGGTACTGTTAGTTGCACTGAGATGCAAATGCATAGACGTCCGTAGTCCATGAAGTAATTAGTGAAAATTATTAAAGACAACTGTATGAAAACTATTAAAGGCAAAATACTATCTACCACATTAAATGCCATTGTCTTTAGAATTTGCATCATTAGATGATATCAGTTGATTCAGATGACTCTGACATTTTTGAAAGTCATTGTTCAAGATGTCCTCTCTCCTAAAAAGCAATACAGTTAATATTATTGAACAATGAAGAGAGTTCCATTTTCTTTCCAAAAATTCACTTCAGAAAATCACTGTAACAGAGTAGAGTTTAATTTATTTCTTCTGCAGTAGCCTCATTCTGGTATTGTTTCTCATTCACATTCCTAGGTAATGACTGCTAATGCAGTTGTGCCCTCTGGTCCTGATGAAAGTGACAAGAACCAATTTCAGGGTGACTTGATAAGTACGTTTTCCAATGGATTACATCTATGTGTCAGTCTGAATGGTGGCACTTAAAACACTATCTAAATGTGTGATTAACTTAAATGATAAATAGGTGACTTGCATTGTTGGAAAAGGGAGTTTTTTTCATAAGAGCATAATTTAATGGAATATTCTGGCAAGCTTTAAATATACTCACACATTTCTTTATGAATTGAAAGAATAGAATAGAGAAGACAGTACAAAGAAGGCATTGTTACAACTATGGAAATAGGAATTGTGTTGAGGAAGCCAGCTTTTGAACACCCAAACTGGATAATAATTCTTTCCCTACAAAACCTTTACTTTCAGAGAACCTGAACACATTTTAAATACCTCTGTTACTACTTCTGTGCAATACTTTCCATAAAAGCACTTCTATTTAACCTCACTAAAGTTCAGACTGAATGAGTGAACACTATATATTTCTGTTATTCTGATTATGTTACGCAATCCATAATTTCATAAGTTTTAGCAGGTTTTCTTGCAAAGCTCTATGTATTTACATTATGTATGCTGGAATTAAAAAAATAAAGAGCATCTTTGGTGGTGATGTAAATTTGTTCCTTGTTTTTCTGCTGCTGAGAATTGGGCTATTTAAGTAGTAAACACCCTATCTTCTAAGGAAGGTAGTAGCTTCAGGTTTGGGGCAGAGCTGAGTGAGTACACATTCATAGTATGGGTCATGTCATGAGCTTTATTTTCAGAACCTTAAAAAGAGAGAAAAAAAGATTGTTTTATACTTGGAGTAAAATTCATGTATAGAGCTGTGCTATTTATTTTTGAATAGTTTCAAAGGTGAGCATAAATATGAGTCATGTTCCATATAATGGAAGAAGAGAGGCCTATTAGTTTCCTCCCTTGAGGCATATGTATTTATCATACTTCCATTTCATCGAAATGATATTCAGATTATTAATTCATAATAGTTATATACATATTAAAATAGCAACAATTTGTATTTTAAATAAATATTGCCTAGTTATTGGAGAATTTGGGGATTGAGGGTTGAACCAAGTGCCTTCAGGAGGAACTGGATGCTCAGTCCATTTTCCTATTTATTTATATTTGAGGCAAGGTTTCACTAAGATGATATTTTAGCCAGCCTGGGCTCAAAGTTTCAACCCTGCTGCCTCAGCTTCCAAAGGTGAATGGATTACAGGTCTGTGCCAATACACTTAGGTTTGAAATTTATTCCTTAGCAGTCTGTTTTCTTTTGTATGTGGTTTATGATGTTTCAAATTTTCTATGACTGCTTAATTTGAATATGGTTTAATTTGTCCATATTTTTCCTCAGTTTTAAATAGGTCATGGCAATGAAATCTCTAGTTGTCTCTACAACGCATTGTACAGACAATATTTCATATTGCACTTTTGTGAGATATAGCTTCATCTCTCTCTAGATATATTTTAAAATATTTCAATGTAATGTCAACTTTTGTGATAATGTATTAGAAAATGAGTGTGATGCTAAGCATACTTTTAGAAAAAGAGCTTGAATCCAGTGAATAAAGGTGAGTCCATCTTTGAATGGCCCTTGTGATAGACATGACCATTGAGAGGTGAGAGGAAGATGAAGTGCAATTCTGGTGTCTGGAAATAAGAAATCAGCCAATAGCAGGTTGGAAAAGTTAAGTAGCTCTCAAATTACTATCACATTTCCTTCATCCATTATCTAAATAACTGCACAGTACAATTTCACACTCAATGGATGAGTTCCCTGCTTAAACATTTGTACAGATGAGGTGTTCAAAGATCCTTGGATACTGCAGCTCTTACTCTGTTCTTGTGATCCTTAAAATTTTTCTCAGCTTTCATCTCACATAGTTGTACAAATTTCCTGGACACTGTTGTCGGGAGGGTGTACATTCATCATCCTAAAAATCAGTTTAGGGTCAGTAAAAATGCTGCCATTTTATTGAGCTTTGAAATCCCCACTATTTTATCTTTCTTCTGTTTTGCATGCTTCAGAAATAATATGTAATGGTCTGAGGATTTAGCTCAGTGGGGATATGCATGCCTCATTTCTGGTGCAAGGTCCTGAGTTTGACTACCAGTACAAAAAAATAAAAAGAAAAAGAAAAAAAAGAGCAATATCATGAAAAGCTACTGTTCCTATAAACAATCATCACAAAAGTACTGAACATATGGACAAATCTGCACAGAGTGAACTTCTGGGTATTTTGTATTTGAATTAAAAATTAAAATATAATTTCAATCTCCACTGGATAAAGAAGAATTTTTTAGTAAAATGAAGTGCTGCTCAGCAATAAAAATGAGAAACTAGAGATATTTATAGCTAAGTGGATGCACATTGAGGCCAACCACTTAAGTGAAATAAATAAGACATGTGTAAATATCAAATGATTTCTCTGGTATAAACTAAAAGTGTAGATAAAGATTGAAATATAAAATTGATGATGTGCAATAGGGGGAAAAGTTCTAAAGGATTAGGGGAACTTGGAGAGTAGTGGAAAGGAAAGAAAGGAAAATCAAAATAATGGAAAAGGAAAAATTGAAACAAAGTATTTGTAAATAGAGAAGGGTGGAGGGGGTGAAGGGAGAGAGGACAGCGGAATTGGGAAAAAAAATATGCACCAAGATATATCATGTAAAGGTACAAGATCCCAATGATGAATGTAACTGTATTGTATATCTAAAATGCATCAATAAACTTAATGGAAAAAATAAATAAGTTCAGTCTCCATGTGTGAAGAAAACTGTAGTGACAAAATTTAAGAAAAAAATTATCAAAATACTAAGCAGGTCATTTCTATACCTTTGTTCACCAGCAGTGATCATAAAAAGCAGAATAGAATACTCTGAATTAAATATGAAGCCCAAAAATTAAGATTCAGTCAACACTGATGATATCTAAGAAAAGACATCCCTGAGTGTTGCATATTTAGGGAGTGTTTGTAACAACTTATAAATATGACAGGAATTGAAATATCCACGCTTACTTTGATCAATGAGATTTTTTCTTCTACAAACCACTTTTCCATGAAGTTGATTTTAATTTAAATTGTTATTAAATATCTATCCCTTCTCCATAACACTTTCATATAAACCCTTCACCCTTCTAGGACCATAGCCTAGAATATAGCTCCTGGTAAGTGTCAACAAGTATTTATTTAGTCAGATTTCTATGGTATGCTTGGCTACTTTGGCATTTAAATTTTTTTCATATATATTTGTGATAGAAATGGATTACATTCAGCTTGAGTATTGACACATAAAGATTCTGAATCTTGGTCATTCTTTCTTCCCTTGTACCTCCCCACATGCCCATCTCTGTGTTTCCCAAACCCCTCTCCACTTTTACTCACTCTACTTACCTCTTTCTACTTATCATTCCTCTCAATCATCCCCTTTGACTTCTCACTTATATCTTTCAGCTACTTTCTGTGTTTTGGAAAAATATGTGGAACTTATCACTTTACCAGACACTAGTACAATCTTCAAGCACTTCTTAAATATGTATCTCATCCAAATAGTAGTGGTCACACCTAAGGTATGAGGATTTTCATTCTGTAAATCAGTAAATATGACCACTTCATTAGACATCTGGAGACCTTGAAAGCTAAAGTGAATCTGTGTGTCTTTACTTATGTGTAGTAGTCAAGATTTTATGGAATTTTATTTATCCATCAGCATTCTCAATCAGATATTTTGGAGTCACATCAAGTGGTGGTATTAGGGCAGCTGTGCAGTGTGACATCACTAATTTAAATGTACATTAATTCTTCAGAATTTTAAAAAATAAATTCTATATCACTCATTCTGTTCTTTGCAACACACTCATTATTTCTTCATTTAAGCAAAAATCCTTAAAAGACATTTTGTATTAAGTCATCAATATTTTTTTCTCTCACATTTATCCAAGGTCAATCCAACCAGATGTATTATAGTTTAATGTGTAGAAATGCTAATGTAACTTCATTAATTAAGTGAGATTTGTGCTCAATACTCACTTGTCAGATTCACAATTCTTCCTATCCATCACAAGTCATGTCTCTGCTCTGGAATTCAGTTTACCGATTGCTACCATTTTATGATGTGGGGAATTGTATAAATATATCCACCAAAACAGTAAATTTCATTCAATTACTCCTAGTAGTGTTTCCTGAAACTTTCAGGTGTTTGGAATCCAGTCACGGGTCTATGTGTCTATTTTTGTTTTCTTTCTTTTTTTTTCAGCTTTAATTGAGTTTATTGGTACATTTTAGGGATCCAGTACAGTTACATTCATTGTTGGGATCTTGTACCTCTACATGACAAGTCTTGATTCTCATTTTTTCCCCTTACTTCTGCCCTCCCTTCACCCCCTCCTCCCCTCCCCATCTACAAACACTTTATTTTCATCTTTTCATTCTCTCACATTTTTTTCTTTTCCCTTTTTACTCTTCCCCTACCCATCCCACCTTCCCTGCACCTTTAGCTCCTTTGTTCCCATTCCTAAATGTCAGTAATCTTATTAGAATCTTATGCATTGTTGCAGATTATTCCCACAAGGGAAACTATTCGGTATTTACACATGTGTGACTTATTTATTTCACTTAGGAGTATATCTTCAATATGTATACATGTTCCTACGAATGAATCTATTTTCTCATTCTTTATGGCTGAGTAATATTCCATTTTATAGAAAAACCACATCTTTATTTTTGATTTCTATATACCCAATTCTTTATATTTCTCATATGTAAAATCTCTATTTCTGTTTTAGAAAATAATCTAACCTAGGACAGTGAATCTGTTTCATATAGAAAGAGGAAGTACTATTTTAGCTGTGGAGATAAATCATATCTTTAGATCCTGTTCCTTTGGTATGAGACAAATCACACCCTTAGATCCTGGTCCTTAGGTATTCTATGTTTGAATTTTGTCTTTGCTACATGTGGAAATTTATCTTTTAATAATATTATTATTTCTTCATATTAAATAATTAAAAGCCCCCTGTTTTTGTACTTTTATCTGTTATTTTTATTTTAATACAATTTAAATTAAGAATGTCAAGAAAGACGGTACAAGCCCATCTTGTCAAAAAGTTCCAGTAATCCATCTTGTAAATCACAAAGTCATTTAGAAACACACAACATGCTATACTTAAATTGATAACTGCATGCAAACTATGAAGCTCTGAAATACAGAAGATGTGACAAGGAAGACCAGCATGGAAAGACTTCTCCATCTGTGAACAGGTTTGTGATATCTGCCCACGTGTGCTGAGCAATGGCCACATCTGCACACTGTTAACTTCTGGGGGTTTGGTAGATGAAGTCACAGTAAAGAGTGGGAAGGGTCTAGGGATATAGCTTAGTGGTGCTACACCCTGTTGGCCAGTATAAGGTCCTGAGTTCAATCCCCCATACTGGGAACAACAACAACAACAACAACAACAACAACAACAACATCAAAAGGAAAGAAACAGAAATAAAACAAGTGAATCTGTTATAACAAAATTTAAGAAGGTACTCAGCAAATTCAAAGTAGAATTATTTTTACTACAAACTGAGATCATAAAAATTAGAATTTTCTATGCCAATTCTGAAGAAGAAAAATTAAGGCTCACCCAACATCAATGTTGTATAAGGAAAGATACCCCTAAGTGTTGCATTTTTCTAGAATTTAGCTATTTGCAGTTACATACATACTCACACATTTAGGCTGTATTTTTTACATCTTAATATTGGAACCAGGTCTCCTGGTATCATGAAATGGAAAATCAATTTGTAAATGACAAGTAATGCTGCACCCTATTAGGGAAGTGTTTTGTGTTTTTTTAGGCAAAGTCCCTAAGCGGAGATGAGCAGAAACAATGGAGACAATGGATGGAGCTTCCTGGGACTCAAGGTTCAGAAAATCACCCATCCTGAATGCTGCACCTACATAGCCTAGGGCATTAAGGAGGTGTCCTTCTGGGATTAGAATCAGAGGAGAAAATGTAGCCTAATGAGGACCTTTGGACATTGAGCACCCAAAGGGTATAAATCTGGAGGGTCAGCTAGTGAGAACATCACAATGCATTCCTGCTCACACTTTTAGTCTGTCTGCTTTTCCTGCATTTTCATCCATCTACAGTATTCAGGTATGATGTTCACTGTCCTTCATCTTGAAGCCAAACAAGCAATATGAATTTTTTTAGTTAATATTTCAGAAATGAGGACAGATAATTCATGTAATTTGCTGTTGAAGGAAAAGGAGAGGACATGCATAAATTAACAAGGTGAAAGTCCATGACTCCCTCAAGTCTCACAGTGACATATATTAGATATGATCCAGGTAAATGGTAAACATTTAAATTTTTTAAATTCCTTACAAGGAAACACAGATTGTCATTAATACCCCTCAAATTACTCCCTGGTTTATTTAAGTTGAATGATTCCATTTGTAAGATTTTTGAAATTTTAAAATGTTTTGGTTTTGTTAGTTCAGGTTTGTAGTACGTAGTGCTTGCATTCACTGTGTGGAGTTGGTGCATGTTCATAACACATCTTACCTGGCAGGGGAGAGGCCATGATCACATCGTCATTTTTATACACCCCTCCAAACCAATCCCCTTTTGTCTATCTCTTGGTCACCTTGCCATATACAAAAGTGCTACCACCATATTATCTGTGTTTTATATTTCCCTTTAATTTATGCTTTTTGTTCATTTAGTAGGAGAAAGCATATAACATTTAAGATTGTGACACTGATTAATTTCACTTATTATTGTGGTCTCAAGGTTCCTCAGAAAAAATCAAATACTAAAAAATTATGTTGAGGCTGTGAGGGGAAAAGGAACCCTTCTATACTGTTGATGAGAATGTAACCTAGTACAACCACTATGGAGATTTCTCAAAATAAAAACAAAATTATAATAGAAATTCTATTCAATTCAGTTGTTTTGCTTCTAGGTGCCCTCCCCAAAATGTTAAAGAAATGTTACAGTGACAAATGCTTATATATTAAAAAATGACAGCTAGAACTTGCAAGTGACGTATATGTCCATCAGTGGATGAATGGATAAAGAAAATGTGGTGTATTCTGATTGATCTTGTTACTTTCTGTAGCAACTCTACATCTTTATGAGGTGTGATAAAAGTATGGTGAGTATTGCTGCCATGTGCCATCCAATGCACAGACAGGGTTGTGAAAAGGACTGACCTTTTTTTGATAAGATCAGCTAAGGGTTTATTGATTTTATTTATTCTTTCAAAAACCAACTCTTCATTTCATTTTTTGTATCATTTTCTTAGTTTCCTTTGCATTGATTTCTGCTCTAATCTTTATAATTTCTTCTCTTGTTTGAGCTTTGGGTTTTTCTTGCTCTTGTTTTTCTAGGAGTCTAAGAGGCATCATTAGGTTGTTTATTTGACCTCTCTCTGTTTTCCTAAAGTGGGCATTCAGTGCTATGAATTTTCCTCGTAGAACTGATTTCACTGTGTCTATAGATTCCTGTATGTTCTATTGGCATTTTCATTTATTTGTAAAAACTGTCTGATTTCTTCTTTAATTTCCTCTGTGAACCATTGATTGTTCAGGAGAGCGTTGTTCAGTTTCCATGTGTTTGTGAAGTTCCTACAGCTTCTTGTGCTATTTATCTCCAGCTTGATTGCATGATGATCTGATAATACACAGGGATAACCTTGATTCTTTTGCAATTATTCAGAACTGTTCTATGAGCTAATATGTGGTCTATTTTAGAGAATGACCCATGTGCATCTGAAAATAGTGTGTATTCTGATTTTGTGGGGTGGAATACTCTATAGATGTCTATTAAGTCTATGCGTTCCAAAGCTTGGTTCAGTGGTAGCTTTTCACTGTTGATTTTTTGCCTAGATGATCTATCTATTTGTGATAATGAGGTATTTAAATACTCCACTACAATTGTATTAGTGCTTATTTGGTTTTTCATGTTACTTAATATTTGTTTTATATATTTAAGGCATTAATATTTGGTGCACATCAAAAAAAGGAAAGAAAAGGCTCAGATCCATGCAATCAGCAATGAAAAAGATGAAGTCACAACAGACCCAACAGAAATACAGAGGATCATTTATACCTACTTTGAGAATCTATACTCTAATAAATTGGAAAACACAGAAGAAATGGACAGATTTTTAGATACTCATGAATTACCAAAGCTGAAAGAAGAAGATAAAAACATTTTAAACACCCCTATTACAGTCAGTGAAATTGAAAATGTAATGAAATATTTACCAACAAAGAAAAGCCCAGGTCCTGATGGATTCACTGATGAATTTTACAAGGCATTTAGAGAAGAATTACTGCCTTTACTCTCCAAACATTTCAATGAAATTGAAAGGGAAGCAATACTTCCAAATTCATTCCTGGAAGCAAGTATCGCTTTGATTCCCACACCAGGGAGATACACAAATAAAAAAAGAGAACTACAGGCCATTCTCATCAATGAATATAGATGCAAAAATACTTAATAAGCTACTAGCAAACAGAATACAGAGGATAATCAAGAAGATCATGCATCCTGACCAACTCGGATTTATTCCAGGGATGCAAGGATGGTTCAACATAGGTAAGTCAAAAAATGTAATAGACTATATTAACAGAGTCAAGGACAAAAAAAACCCATATGATCCTCTCAATAGATGCAGAAAAAGCATTTGACAAAATTCAACACCTATTCATGATAAAAACCCAGCAAAAATTGGAATAGATGGTCTTTACCTTAACTTAATAAAAGCTATCTATGAAAAACCAACAGCCAAAGTCATATTAAATGGCCCAAAACTGAAAATCTTCACATTAAAATCAGGAATAAGACAAGGATGCCCACTATCACCACTACTCTTTGATATACTTCTGGAAAAATTAGCCACAGGAATTAGACAATATAAAGAAATTAAAGCAATAAAGATAGTAAAGGAAGAAGTAAAACTGTCATAATTTGCTGATGGTATGATGCTCTACATTGAAGACTCAAAAAACTCTAACAAAAGACTTCTATTCCTAACAGACTCAGTAGAGTAGCTGGATACAAGGTCAACACCCAAAGATCAATAGTCTTATGGTACACAAAAAACAGACTCACTGAGAGAGAAATTAGGGAAACAATTCCCTTCACAATAGCATCAAAAAAAATGAAGCATCTAGGAATCAATTTAACAAAAGAAGCAAAAGACCTCTACACGGAAAACTATAACACTCTGAAAAAAGAGATCAAAGAGGATATAAAAAAATGGAAAGATGTCCGCTGCTCCTGGGTAGGAACAATCAACATAGTGAAAATGGGCATACTACCAAAACTGCTATACAGATTCAATTCAATGCCAATGGAAATTCCAACACTATTTTTCACAAAACTAGAACAAAGTATCTAAAAATTCATTTGGAAACATAAGAGAGCTAGAATAGCAAAAGCCATCCTAGGCAACAGACACATGTCAGCAGGTGTAACAACTCCCAATTTGGAACTATACTACAAAACCTCTGTGATAAAAACAGCATGGTACTGACAAAGAAACAGACCTGAGGATCAATGGAACCAATGGTAAGACACCAAAACAATTCTAGATGTACTCAGCTACCACATTTTTGACAAAGGAGCTGACCATCCTCAGTGGAGGAAAGATAGCCTCTTCAATAAATGGTGCTGGAAAAACTGGATCTCAACCTGCCAAAGATTAAAATTTGACCCTTATCTTTCACCATGCACTAAATTGAAATCCAAGTGGATTAAAGATCTAAATATTAAAACAGAAACACTAAACTTAC